TTGATTTTTAGTTCTCAAAAGTTCTTGGGAGAAAAAAGAGATATTTTGATCTTTTGACTCCAACCTAGTTTTCCAGTTAAGCTTGATCAAATCCTTCTGCTTGAATCTAGGAGTCGGATTGAGCTGTGAGCAACTCGGAAGACCCAAATTCAATAATATTGGTTCAGCCATGAGCATATAACAGACTCTTTTCTTTGGCAACTCTTGTTGACCCCGAGGGACTCAGAGATTAGTAATCCCATATTCTCTGGTTCTCACTCAAAGGCGGCTCTCAGCTTTGCAACCATCTTAACGGATGCCAGCTGGCATGCCCAGCCTTCTCCCTCAATGTTCAATATCTTATGGCCAACTATGCGCTTCACTCCGCTTAAACCCATTCAACTTTGTCATCACTCGCCAATTCTCAGTGTTGGGTTTCTTAACAACTCACTGTTAGCCTCCTCAACCGCAGCTGCTTCATCCTTGAGCAAGTTCATAGCACAAAATATCATCAACTCTCACGGATGCCAACAAACTTGGGATCAGTTGCCATATATTATTTGGTTCTCCCTCAAAGATGGTTCTTGGCTTTGCAAGCATCTTCACGGATGCCTTCTGGCATGTCCCAGCCTCTCCCATGTATACGATATCTTTCTTGCCAACTATGCCCTTCACTCGCCTCACCCATTACCTGCCAATTCTGTGTGTTGGGTTTCTTTGCACCTCACTGTTATCCTCCTGGACCATAGCTGCCTGCATCATCCTTGAATGCGTTACCAACAACAACAATATCAAGCCTTTATCCCACTATGTGGGGTCGGCTACATGAATTATTTTTCTCCATTATGTCCTGTTAAAAGTTAAATTCTTATTAAAATCTAATAAAGAAAGATCATTTCTAATATTTTCTAACCAAGTCTTTTTAGGCCAATCTCTACCTTTCTTAACATAAGTCAAATCTAATACATCTACTTTCCTAACTTGGTCATCGGAAGGTCGCCGATTTTTGTGACCAAATCTTCTAAGGCGACTCTCTCTAATCTTTTCTTCCACTTGAGCTACTCCAACATTTTCACATAAATGCTCATTTCGTATCCTGTCTCTTAGAATAATGCCCCTCATCCACTTGAGCATCCTCATCTCTGCAATATTTAACTTAATATTATGCTTCTCTTTTAATGGCCAACATTTTGCAGCATAAAGCATTGTAGATCTAACCGCCATCTTATAGAGTTTTCCCTTAAGTTTGAGCGAGACTTTTCTATCAAACAACAAGCCCGATGCATTCCTCCACTTCAACCATCCAACTTGAATTCTACTAATAATATTCTCATCTATTTCACCATCACTCTGAACAATAGACCAAAGATATCTAAAATGTGTACTCTTATTAATTACTTGATCACCCAAATCACAATCTCCCCAAAAGAACTACTATTACTAAACTTACACTCCATATATTTAGTTTTAGATCTACTCAAACGAATGCCTTTAGACTCTAAGATTGACCTTCATAATTCAAGTTTACCTTCATTAGTCTTATCAACAAGAAGAATATCATCAACAAAAAACATAAACCATGGTATAACCTCTTGCAAATGCCTAATGAGTGCATCCATGACTAAAGCAAAAAGATACGGGCTTAAGGTTGATCCTTGATGTAATCTAACTGAAATAGGAAAATACTTGGTCAAACCACCTTGTGTCTGAACACAAATAATAACTCTTGCATACATAAGACATGACTCGAAATCAGCAGTGATGACCTAGTTAATATCATCATTTCTAGTGATGACCAAGCCCGTAACTCATGATCGTAATGCAATTTCTCCAACATCTGTGAAGACTTTCTTATCGATTCTTGGGGACCTTGCCGTTGATTGACCATCACACCTCATTACTGCATCAATTGGTGGTGGCTCGTGCGTGTAGATATCACCAACAGTCCAACATTGCACTGTTCTGTTCACTATGCTTGTGCCCCAACCTCTTTGAAGGCACCGCTTTTATTTGTGTTGAATGACCTCATCGTGGCCACATGTATGCACGGTGACTTGGGCTTCATTTATGACAGCTTTTGTGTTGCTTCATAAAGCAGCTTTTAAGTTTTTTTTTTTTGAAAAATAAAATTTTCTATTAAAAAGCGGCTTTTAAAAACCGTTAGAAAACTCTCCCAAACGAAACGCTGTGACCACGTGACTTTACCACATCAAATGTCACAACCATGCTCAACAAGGCATACTGGTCATCCAGGCTATTTTAACATTAGTTCACATGTATTATAAAGTTCAGACACAGTTGATGACTACAAGTTTCAATCATAGTATTTTATGGAGAAATTACGGAGGCATTTGCTTTTTATGAGTATAATTTTTATGTGTAAACAAATGCTTTTATGATGCTTTAGGCATTATTTCATCGACTCACCAGTCCCGATTAAAAAACGAATGCTATATGCACTTGAGTCTATTTATGTTCACATACTTTTCCTTTTTGTTCAGTAGCACGGTGTGCTGCGGTTTAAGAAGTGAAGGTTACATAAATTTAAGGTTTTGTTTGGGATGACTTTCTTACTGTTTAAGGTTTTGTTTGGGATGACTTTCTTACTGCTTCTTAAAGCAGCTTTTTAGTATAAAATTAAAAAAATTTATACCATAAAGTTACTTTAAGAATCATTAAGAAAGCCGTCCCAAATGAAGCCTAAATCCTTATGTATTTTCTGTATCCTTTATGACTTTTTAATGTTGTATAAATCTTTGCAGGATGTAATTGATGGTGACCTTTGCGAGCAATATCCAACCCTTTCTCCTGATTTGCAGAAGAAGATTGCTGATGAACTGGACAGAACTCCAGGTGAGATCTTGAAGAAACTAGAAGACATCAGAAACAAAATAATCTAATAAGGCATTGACCTGGGGGATGGCTTTTGCCGAAGCAAAGCAAAGAAACAACAGCTGAGAGACTCCAGATTACTTATCCTGGTGTACTTTCTACCCTCCTAATTAAGGTGTCGGACTAACGTTTAGATTATAATAACTTAATGATTTGCACCTTTTTTCAATTTTATCTACTAATATTTCTCTCATCCTGCAGATTGGAGGGATTTATTATTGAAAAGTTTTGTATGTAGAATGTATCAAGTGTTTGTTCAGTGTCAAATTGTTCATCGCTATCTATAAGCAGGGTCGCTTGGGTTATGTGATCTACTTTAGTCAGAATGGTTGATTAGTGTTCACCTAGTTGTTAGTTGTTTTATTTTTCGGCAGCTATCTTTGACTGGAATTTCAACTGTGATGATGATGAGTTTTTAAGTTGTAAGATGCGTAGGATTGTCCTTTGGATGAAAATATTTGCAATTGTCCTTTATACTCCGATTAATTTTAATGCCGTCCGGAGATCAATCAGAATGTGTCATTCCTTATGTTTTGTGCTGCACTGCAGTTCGGCACTGCTCGGTATTATGGTTTGGTATTATTGACGTGACTCATTCTGATTGATCTCCCGATGACGTTCTGCATCTCGCATCTGCTCAGAATAATTTCTCCTTCAAAGCAATTTTCACAATCATTACTGCTGGAAGTGCTGCGATAGAACCATTTTGTTAAGTATCGGATAATATTTTTCTTTGGAAAGTCTATCTTAAAATGTCATTCTCTTGTAAATGTTTATTTTTTTGTTTAATTTTCTTAAGATCGCTATTTAATAATTCATTAATCATTGAATGTACCATTTAATATGTTCAATCTCAAATTATGAAGGTAAAGGTTAAGGTTTTATTTGGAATATTTTTATTATTATTATTATTATTAAATTAAGATTATATTTTTATTTGATTATTATTTTAAAAATAATTTATACTTGAAAATTAAATTTTTATAATAATTTAAGAAATTAGTTTCTATAAAATAAATTCATAAAATAGAAAGCTGCTTTGAAAGGAGCCTAAGCTATTTTGTTTTTATATATGGTACCTGTACTTAATGAGTTTTTGAATTAATTTAAAATAAGAAAATAATCAAGTCAATCGCCTTTATTTATTGTAATTCCTTCACATAAGTTGAAATCATATCTTCAGTTTCATCAGCAAATAATTTGAACGTTGTAGAAAAGTGAAATCTTGAATATATGCTTTATTAAGATAGCCATTTAAGCAAAAATTTAAGTGTTAGAGTATACATTAACTATAGGTATTCATTATGTAAGGCTATAATTTTTTATTTATCATCCTATCATTTTCTCTATCTTTGCTGGCACGGATAGAAGCGAGAAATTTGTAATGGGAGTAATCCGAGGAGAGAATAGAGGAGCAATAATTTTATTATTTTTTAAAACAGTTTTTTAATATAAAATTTATTTATTTTTTACTAAACTAAGCATTTATGCTTAGGTGAGTTCTTTGTTCGATATAGAAATGAAAGGTATGTGATTTTAATTATACTGAATCAATTTGTGTGATTTTTTTTATATAGGAAAGAAGAGGAAGATTGAGTGGACTTTGGCTTAGTTTAGCTTTTTAATGCAAAAATTTTCAGTTATAGAAATTTAATATTTTAAAGTTATTTTAGAAAGCAATAAGAAAATCCTCTTTAACGAAGCCCTTAGACATGAAAAAGAAGAAAAATTGAAGGTAATAGAAAAAATTTATTTAAATGTCATTTGAAATTTTTATAATAGAATAAAATATAAAATTTAATTAGATTTTTTTTCTAGAGATATTTAGATCAATTAAAGCAAATTCACAAATACATCACATATACAAGCTTCGAATTCAAGATCTCTTAGTTAATAGTCAAAACTATCGAACACCAGATAAAGATGAGTTGTGTTAATTCATTAACCTTCAATGTTGTATTAATAAAACGTTTGACTTTTTTTTAAAAAAATAAAAAGAGTACGCCTCATAAAGACTTGGTAGAAATAAAAAAGAGATGAAAAATCGATGATGATCCTCCAGATGACAATGGGAATCCATTATGGTGGCAGCTGAATTAACATAATAATCCTCGTGGATAAACATTTGACTAAAGAATTTCAATTTCTAGTTGAAATATGAACCTTATTTGATAAATGTAAGCTAAATAAACGTGAAAAGAATGACTTTAAAACAAAGAAACCATCCTACTAGCCTGCATGTATACTAAAAACATGCGTGCAGCAAGGGAATAAATTAGCATACTTACAAAGTTCGTTTTATCTTCCACTCTGAAGTTTCAAGTTCTAGCAGAGCTTTTAATCAAATAATTGTAGAAAACCTTATTACTGCTTTGCATTCTGTACTTGAAGAATAGCACTTTACAACCTATTGCCAATCTGCCTAAATCTATGATAGGAAGAGATCCAAAGGCCAACAAAAGGGGACCTTCGGAAGTCAATCAGAACGCGGCAACAAGAACATGAAGCCTGAATTTTCCCGAATGAGTAGCGGCGGTTCGATGTCGGAAATTTCAATCTGTTCCATTGATTTTGATATGTCATCCACCGAAAATGGAATGCTGTATAGTTAGTACACCAAAGTAAGAAATCAAGAGAATCATCCAAGGTTCAAAGGATGGATTATGGCATGGGAGTTAGGTAACAGGGGCGGAACCAATCTTAATTTTCATGAGGGGCAAACTTAAAAGTAACTGTCGGGGAGCAAGGGGGCAGTGCCCCTTGACAGGGTTTGACCTGCGGGGGTTTCTGGGGGCAGCGCCACCGGAACAAATTAAGGATACTTTTGGAATTCAAATTAATAAATAAAATGATGAATGCTCTTTATTATTTGTTGGGGGCAATTGCCTAAAAATCATAGTTTTTTAAAAGATTTAGAGGGGGGGGGGGATTGCCTAAAAACCTCATAATAAAGACTAAAATATCTAAAGAACTATATAATAAAGATTTTTTTTTTTTTTTAAGGGGGGCAATTGCCCCCCCTGACCCTAAGGGGGTTCCGCCCCTGGTAGGTAATAAGGAGAAATATATAACCTGGAATCATCATCTAGCAAGAATGAGTTGCTGACAGCATTATTGGAGTCTTCTGTCATCAATACCCTCATATTTGATATAACCTGATGTGAAATCCCAACCCACAGATTTGAACTTGTTAGATTTGCAAGAAAAATCCAAGTGATAACTGTTCAATCTCCAACTTACATCTGGGGACACACTATGCGTGCCATATTTATCATCCCAGTACATTGTACTGATCCGATATAGTTGCTGTATGCTGAGCACCTGTGGGCATACGATAGCTGGTTGAATTTTAAGAAAACACTAGTGAAGGAAAATCATTAAAAAGATTTACTTACTGGGCAAAGATCATGGCTTATTTCATCCAATGTCTTCTTAGGTTTTTGATGAATTACCTGTACAGTGGGAAGTAAGAGAATTCATGTACCAGGTTTTAGTGAAGAAATTTATCTTTTTCAACTAATTTTCAAGATTGGTCATCAGTATCAGGATGATTTTCAATTGATTGTATGGTTAGCACCAACAAAAACCACATCCACCATAGAAAATGAATAAAAGGAGCAATAAAGAAGAGTTTTGTGAATCAATTAAGCTGCTACTAGTTTTCATATAATGCATAACATAATACAAAAAGGAAATGAATCGTTACCAGGAATCCAATGGCCTGTCTGATATGCTTCAATTCATCCCAGGCTGAGCCTGCATACTACAATTTCAGAAGTAATTAATAGATATATGTAATCTTTAACAAATCTTGATAGTACTAAAAAAGCATTTAAAGAAGTAATAAAAAGAACAAATTAAGAAGAACAATTAAGCTGACATTTTTTTTTTTTGGGAATGGGGTTATCTACCCGCTGCCACTCCAAAGGGAGCGCTTGGCGGCGTAACTAATCCCTTGGCGGAACCTAGCGAGGCCACCCACCGGCATCGGACCCACACTTACTTTGCCCCACTGAAGAGGCGAGGCCGTAGTAGAGGGGATTCGAACCGGGATGGGGGGTTCCCAACCGTGCTCGCCCACCAACCACCCTAAGCCTCGGTGGTGGGTAAGCTGATAATTCATCAATGAAAAAGGGAATAAACAATGGCAGTCTGGTTAAAATTGCAGGCCAACTTCAATTGACCTTGTTAGCGAAATCCAATTTCTATATCCTTTGAGAGATATGTATGAGATAAATCAGCATGTGAAAATACCTCATCAGTAGCTTTATAGCACCAATGTTCTAGTTCAGCAAGTCCTGCTTTAACATATTCTCCATTACTGAATGAGCAGCACTCTCTCCTCAGCAGAAGGCTGCATCAAAAGAGAGATCAATACTGTCATTAAACTCTTCATACATGCGGCAACGCATTCAAAAAATTGGAGAACTCATAACCTATTAAATAGCTGCACGTTGATGAAGGAAAATATCTGTGTGAACACCTTTCTAACTAAAAACGGGGGAACCTGAGCAAAGCAGAAAAAAATTCAGTACAGCTTTCGAGATTATGACCAGCATGAAACAAAATATTGATGTTATTATGGGAAGGCTAAATATGAATATGCTAATTGTGTAATGAGAAAAGTATTATACTAACATGGTTTCCTTTTAATGTATTCAAGAAACTCCAAAGACTCCTTACAATCCCTTGCCAATGAGCAATTGGGGTTGATAGTCCTTGTGGACGTATAGCACCTTTGATTAGACTTGCTCTTGATGTTCTCGGTGCCTGCATTATTAATTTGATTGAAAACACCAAATATCTAAATAGCAAGAAAATCTTATCGTTATATTTAAACTACTGGGAATGAGTACCTGAATGCACAAGCCAAGCAAGGGAGAGATATCCTTTTTCAAATTATCCCGAATCATTCCATAAATTTTCTCCACATATGCTGTAAGTTGTTGTTTGAATAGCAGAGCAGGATATTTGGCTTCCACTTGCCGCAAAGTATCAACTCCACCAACTAAGCCGCCATTGGCAAAAGAAAGGTTCACTCCCTGAGGAGTTCCCCTGAAACTCTACACAACATAAAATAAAATAATGCATAATAAGTGTAGAGAAAGCAGAGGAGTCCTTAAGCACATAAGTAATGCTAAATCATACTTGAGCCATCCTCCCAAATAAACTAGCTGATGAAGATCGACTGCGCTGTGGAGCCATCCCAGCTGCACCACTTGCCTTTAAAGTCCGTTGTAATAGTAATAGCAATGTTGAGGCATTGGAAAGCCAATAAGCTAACACATCATTGTCTTCTTGGGTCTTCAAAGTTAAATAAGTAAAAAAAATTAAGACCAATAAGCTGATTACCATTCCTAAAATAAGGCTTCATTTGGGATGATTTTTTTACTGCTTCTTAAAGCAGCTTTCTAGTACAACAAATAAAACTTTTATACTAAAAAGTTGCTTTAAGAAGCAGTAAGAAAGCCATCCCAAACGAAGCCTACATCATACTGTAAGCCATCAAACCTCAATAGCATGCCCAATTGTCTGAATAATTCGATCAAAAACACTAGTTCGCTCAACTTCAAATGATCTCCACTGGAGAAGACATTTGTATATGATACATGCTGCAACAGGCCTGCTCCCTGCAAATCCCAGGTGCTGTGCAATACACCTGATTAAAAGCTCCTGGTTCTCCTGAAAAAAATTTCCAATAAATATCATAAAAGAGATTTGGTAGGCCAACATAAGCTGGAAAATAACAGATGAAAAAGTTAACCAAGTTCACCTGTTGCTTCTCATTTAGAGATCTCTGTGGTTTGTCCTCTAACTCGGAAAGTTCCTTTACAGAAGAGGAGGAATGAATATCCTAAAATAAAATACATGGTCAGACAATATCGTAAACTTGCAAGAAAAGCAAGGAAGCTCAAATCTTACTGCAGAAGACTTTGGATCAACATTGTTATGTCCGCTATCCGAACTCCTCTGTTTGATCAACAGAAATATGCACATTATTAAGAATGGTCACGAAATATGAAATTTTCAATCAACAAATAGAATAGAGTGCAATGCTAGAGTCTAGACAGACATGTACAATCGATCTAGAACGTCCTGACAAAAATTTGTTAGGAGCCATGGACACAGCCTGCTGACGAAGAACCTGATTTTCAGATTCTAGATTTGACAGCTTTTCCTCTAGCCTGGTTTTAAAAAAATGGCATAATCAGTAGCAAAAAAGCTGATTTAAAGACGACAACCATTTCTTAAAATACTAGGCAAAAAATGGCATTCATAGCTACTTTGCGGAAAGCTACTAACGTTCTTAAAACATACAGTGAAAATTGCATGCTGCTGAACAAGTAAAATAACCATTATCAATGATCACTGTATGCATAAAAAATCACAACAAAAATTTCAGCAACTATGGGAAAATATTAAAAAAATAAGTTACCAGAAAGATATTCAAGTGTTGTAGAGATAATAGAATTGATGCGGAGAGGAATGAAATATTCATTATGGTTTATTCTTATGTAGGAGTGCTAATATAATTACATTAGTGACAAATAATAAGGTGTATTAAAGCATATATTAATACCTACTCTAATTGCATTCCTAATATAGAATGGGAAATAGCAAAACTACAGAATTGTAAACAAGGCTTTTATAAGTTTTCTCTAATAGGCTCCCTCAAGATGGAGTTCTTGGAGAGGAGATCAATCTTGACAAGTAGTTGTTCAAGTTGTTGCCGGATATAGAAGTTTTGTGAGGGCATGAAAAAGTTGGCTGGCAGATGGAACATGAATATTTGGAGAGTGCCACTTGGGAATTTTCTTGATTCAAGTGAAAATCCAGAGCAATATGTTTCATAATGGAGTGAAAAATCAGATTTGCACATAAGTAGGTTGCTTCAATATTGTAAACAATAAATTGTAGGTGTATAAGGAAGATGAATGATATGTTCATGAAATAAAGATTACACCCAAGTGATTTGAATGGTGAGGAAGGAAATTGCATGGTATTCGGCCTCCGCCGAAGAGCTAGCTACTGTATGCTATTTTTAAAATATCTTGGAGATAAAATTGTGGTTGAGAAGTAGGGGTGTCAATTCGGGTCAACGGGTCGGGTTCGGGTCGAACCCGAAACTGACCCGGCACTGTTCGGGTCAACCCGAACCCGACCCGTTTTTAAAAACGGGTCAGGTTTCTGGACCCGAACCCGACCCGATTCGGGTCTGGGTCAACCCGACCCGACACGAATGACCCGGAATTGACCCAAAATTGCTAATTTTCGGGTCAATCTCTGGTTTTCGGGTCAAAATCGGGTCAATCTCGGGTTTTCGGGTCAAAAAAGAGTTTTCGTGTCACTTTCAGGTCAATTTCGGGTTGGCGGGTCAACCCGAACCCGACCCGATTTTTAAAACGGGTTGATTTCATGAACCCGAACCCGACCCGTTCCGTTTCGGGTTTGGGTTGACCCGAACCCGGATTTTTCCTGGTCGGGTTCTGGTCGTGTTTCGTGTCGTGTCAAAAATTGACACCCCTATTGAGAAGCACAATATATACACTTGTGTATATCTGATTAGTAATATTTCTAACCCAATCCACATCTGGGAATCTATAAAATGAGAGGGGGAGCACTGATGAAGAAAGAGCTGATGTTGTAATATAGCGCATAGATAACATAAAATTCATCTGGTCCAATGATTAGAGGTTGGTTGATGCATGTATTAAAAGAGCTTGTTGATGGGATGTTTAGTTGGCTCAAAGAGAAATATTGAAGGCCACCAATAATAGGCCAAACCTCGGGAATTAATGAGAGAGACACCATCAAGAATTTTAGATACTTGACTTGGTAACATGGGAGTAGTGAGATCTTTGGAATTGACCATTTTTGTGCATCCAAGGAGATTATGGATGTGCTTATGTTGTGAAGGAAGAATACCTTGTTTGGAGAGGATGAATTTGACACTCACAAAGTAGGAGACTTCTCTTAGATCATTTATATAAAATGTTGAATTCAATTGAGTGGCACACTATCAAAGAAGTTTATCATCACTGCAGATAAAAAAGATTCATCAACATAGATAAGGAGGTATATTTTTATTGTTGATGAGAGCAAATGAAGAGGAAGGCATAAGCATTGGAGTTGATGAATACAAGACAAGGAGGAAGTGGAAAGTTGTTGGTACCAAGCATGGGGTGCTTGTTTCAATCAATTTAGTTTTTTTTATGTGAAAGACAGTTTGGATGAGTTTGGTCGTAGAATTGGCATATGCAACCTTGATCGAATCTGCCATCATTCTCCCTACCATCCACTTTAAGCAAAAAGGCGCTAGATTTTACTCAATCCTAAAATTAAAAATTCTATACTATTATATGCTAAGCATTTACCTCCTAACAACAAGTCTTAATCGAAAGTTCTCTCACATCATTGGGAGGGGTAATTAATCATAGGGGCTTACGCTTCTAAGAAATATGGAATCTGATCATAAAGTCCTCGCAAAATGAGGCCAAATCTTTTGGTAATATCATATCTACAATCTAATTTGCCTTCTAAAAATTTCATCCGAAACATAAATGGTTGCAATGCATCTATAATCACTAGTAAATAGAAAAAAGAGGGGGAGAGAGGGAAAGGGAGTTGCCAACCTAGAGGGAAGGGAGGAGTTTGTCAAGTGCTTATAGAAATGATATCTACTTCTTTAAGAAGAATGATGTGCTTCTAGTTTCGATTCTATTAAAAGAAAGAGCTTTTGATTCAACTCTTGCAATAAATAAGGAGATTAGTAGTAGCATCAACACCATCTACTTCATGTCAAACATTCGTCTTCGTAGTAGGTGGTTGAATCTCTCAATCATTGACATAGATAAAGTGGTGTATTTGTCTTTATTTGTATGAAGCATAATCATGTATTACCCTCTATTGAAGCTTAGTGATTATTTGAACTTGTACAATATTGGACATAGGTGGATCTCTTCAAAGTGCATAAAGTTGTGTGTCTTATGGTTATGATATATGGTGTATTTATTTTTCAACTTTATTTGATATTGCTTGAAGTTTTATTACAGTTGAGTACAAGAATAGTTACCACAATAGAGAGAGAATTTAACGTTTTAGTTTTGTATAAGATTCAACACATACTCGAGGCAAAGTTGAATTGGAAAGTTCCAAAAGTAAATTCAGGACCATCCGAACTCTAATTTCAGCAAACTTACAATCGAACCGAACGTCTCGAAAAGACGAACCCAACAACACCAAATTTGATCCAATTCAAGCTCAAATAGGTCCAAATCAAGGACTCGAAACGCATTTGGAAGGTTCAAATTATAAATTAGACATTCAAATAATTTCCAAATGTGACATGCTTATAGTCGAATCGAGCAGCTCGACGAGATGAATCCAACAAGCCCAAGATTACCAAATTCTAACATTATTAAGACACTCAAATACTCAATAAACGGTTCATGATCAAGGGAGTTAATATCAGTCGTCCATTGGAAACACTCCCAACTTGCCCTTAATCTTCTCCAAATTTACTGGCCATGCTACTCCAAAATAGCTATAAATAGACCCCTTATTCTTCATTGAGAGGGACCAAGCAGAGGAGGAAGAAAAGAAGAACGGAGAGGAAGACAAATTTGAGATACCTCTTGGTACCAAGTTCCTCTTCGACCACCACCTGGCCACCGACTCTCGCCGGACTTTCGCTCAGCCACCAACTCTCGCCGGAGCATTAACGGACACCTGATTTATGCCGAGTCACCGACTGTCGCTGGACTTTCAGCCGGCCAACAATTGTCGCTAGACTTATGCCCGGCTACCGATTATTGTCGGACTTCCGCCCGGCCACCAACTGATGCTGGATTTATGCTCGGCCACCAACTAACGTCAGATTTATGCCTGGCCACAGACTGTCACCAGACTTTCGCTCGGCTACCAATTGAAGCCAAATTTATGCCCTGCCTCGAACCTGTCGCCTGGTCACCAACTATCACCGGACTTATGCTCGACCACTTATTAATCTGGATTTCTTCCTAATCACCGTCGCCGACTAGATCTTTCTTACCTTCGTCGCTTGATTACGGTCTCTCCGACCTCCGTCACCCACCAACTATGGTCTCTTTAAATACCATCTCCAGACTACAGTCTCCTCAATCGTCGTCACCTGACAACAGACTTTTTGACCTCCGTTGCATGCCAACTATGATCTTTTCGACATCCATTGTCTGATTATGGTCATTCTGACCACCATCACCCAACTATGGTCCTTCCAAGCTACATCACTCGCCGACTATGGTCCTACCGACCAAGCGAACATATCTACACTGATTCTTCCTCCCAACATATAATGCACTCTATATGATGTATATTGGTTATATCGAGCCAAGGCCTTCCCCTTAAGAAAGGGACTCATTTGTAATCAACTCACATATTAGTAAATTCATTCAAACTGGGCTAGGCCCCCTGGTTTTTCCTTTTTCAGGATTTTCCACATAAAAATCTTGGCGTCTCTTATGAACGCTATGCTTCTATCTTTCATTTGTTTGTGTGCTGGATCTTCGTATAGAGCTAAGACATAAAACTTTATATCTCTTTACCACCATGAATTTTCTAGGACTCAACAAGATTGATTCTGCAAGAAAGATTTTATCATTCTTTATGAAAAGTGTATGTAGCAATTGGCCTCTTATTTTAAGATTTTGTGGTTTTATGACAAATATATTTAGAGATCATAGCATTTAGCATTAGTATCCTTCTTCCTTCTTCGACTTATTTAAGAAAAAACCTCATTTAATGATAATAGGTTTACTCTGTTTACAACTTGAACATGAAATTGCTCAAAGTCATTGTTGAGTCCTACAAGAAACTCAGATGCCCTTTCTTTCCACAAATTATTTCAGGATTACCAAATCATTATAACATGTTATCTTGAGATCTTAATAATAATAATCTTATTCAAGACATTAAACCTTTATTGTATTAAAGTACTGAGTAGCAAGAAAGTTACCTTTGGTTGTTGAAATCTAGTTTTAATGTCATATATGAGGGCAACATCATTGATTTTTAAGTACTTATATTTTGCAACGTCCTGAAACTTCTATTGTAGTAAAAAAGAACATATATGACCCATTGATTTCAGACACCATGTTATTTTGCAACCATGTCATAATCATGAAATATGCTTTATCCCAAATTATAA